AGTCCTACAAGGGCATCATTCGCACACACCGGAAGTGAGCGACCAGTCCTGATCGAAAGTCAGTGTTGGGAAAGTACTAGAGTAAATGGCAGCTTTATGCAATGGGGCGTTGGTCTATTTGCGCAGTAAATATGCGTCGCTAAGCAAATTACATGCAAACGAGATTTTGACATTTTGCTGCTGAAGACGACCAGTCTAACTGCAATGGAGCAATTGATACTGCCTCTTCTCTAAATTATTCATTATAATAGGTTGATATTTCTCTCATATTTCTCTGAAAATGTTTTATTCTATATAAAAGCTGTTGATTTAGGAATTTATCACACACATTATTAATACATGTTAGTTCCATGTTACAATGTTTATCTGTATGCTGAAAGAAGGCGGGATAATATACCGGTAGGTCTCCCAAGTCGCTCCTTACGTTAAACAAAGAGCAGTGTTAGATCACAAAAGTTATCATGAACTGATGACACTGTTGCTATGATCACTACTCTAAGATGCGGGGGCACGGGTCGCACAGTCGTCGAAGGCGCCGCGATTCGCTGCGCAGAGTTGCGTCCCTTGGGCACGCCAGAAACCTATGATTGCGGGTTCGAATCCCGGTTCGCCCCAATTATGTTTCTAGGTTTGTCAACACCATACCCGTGCTCGTGGGTTTCACCGAAGTGGTAAACGTCTGAGGCCTGCATCACTTTGGGCCTTCCTCCCACATTAAGCTGACACGCCGTGATATAACTGGAATACTGTTAAAAGCGGCGTTAAACCCAACTCACTCACTCACTCACTCTCTAAGATGCAAGTCAGTGTTGATAGTACGTTAGTAATTAACGCTAATAGATCAACATGATGTAGGGAGGGCGGCGCTGTGTAATAGGGAGTGTTGACCGGGGCATTGTATTCATGTTCGGCCAGAAGATGAACATATTAGCTGCAACAAAGATCTTATTATGTCTAATAATCATATACTAAGTAATGAGCCAAGCTCACGTAAAAGTCAGCTACTCTGATGTGGATAACAAGAGAAAACTAATGATTTCCAACGTATCAAACCGAATAATTATATCGATAAACTAAATTTTACTTAGAATGAGCTACAGAAAAATATAATATATCATTATTCAGTTATATTGTTCTAATTTATTGCTTTTCATTAACAAATATCAGTTGTCTTCGCAATGTTGATGCCATCTACTGCAATATTAAAAAAAACTTTAAACACTTTTCTATGTCATCGTCCAAGGAACAGCGACTTGCCATGCAGAGTTCCGTCCCTTTGCTATGCCAAGATCCGCTAGTCATGAATTCGATTCACAGATTGGACTCTAGTATGATCAACGGTACGTGTGCGCAATACAGGCGCTTGACTTTCACGAAAATGGTAAACCTCAATTTTCACTGTTGCTTTGTCTCACCTTAATCCGACAAGAAAATACCCGTGTAATGTTCGCAACTCCATTATTATCAAATCAACCCAACGGATATCGAAAAATTAAAAAAACTAATATTCATTAATGGTAAATAACTTGTATGATCTTGTGTAAGATTCCACCAAATTTGAATATAGCACGAAGAACGCATCGACCCTCATCTTGGTGACGTCACGCTTTCGAAGGCTTTGAATGTGTCGGCCCTAATCACCAGAGGTGAGACAATACAGGGAATGAAGCATGCGTCAGGTCATTATCACGTTATTGGCGAGGTGGGCAACGAGACATTAGCACCCATTAGTCCGTCCTGTTAGCAATCTCTCACACTAACACAAAAGCCAGGCTACGAGCAAGCACCTTTTGTGAAGAACTAGTAAGATCGGTATCTATTGCAATTGTGATTATAGACAATGTATGTCTGTAGAGAATCTCACCTGGTGTCTTTTGTTATCAGATACATCAATACGAATCGATACACGTTTAAACACCAACGCGTGCAGAGGAGTTTTAGGCTTGTATCGATGAGTATATCTATTTGATATCAAGGACATGAGGGTGTTCTATTTGACATCCAAAATCATTCTTTCCACGTTTTTAATTTATAAACAGTAATAACTGGTGTATTCTATGTACAACACACAATGGTAAGATTCAATGGTAAGACATTAGTGATGTCATTTGAATGGTCTGCAAAGCATCGTGATGTAATTTCATAGCAGCGATATTCTCCTGTGGAAATCAGTTCAGGGTGCCGTTGTACAAAACAGCCTCAGCGCTACGACTGTCGAAAGTCTATGTTAAGGTATGGGAGTAAGATCACCATAGGGCTAAGATCCATAGGGCTACGACTGTCGAAAGTCTATGTTAAGGCATGGGAGTAAGATCACCATAGGGCTAAGATCGCTTTGTACAACGGTAGCATGGATGATAATTATATATCAATAAAGTTGACTTAGGAATGCCAGTCTCTTTATTCTTTCCAAGCGACGTTAAGGACAGGTGATCCTAGCTTTATGAAAACTACCTGAGAAATGTAAAAGCATCCATGCCCCAACGTCGCTTAGAGATTATAGTTGAAAGTCAACTGTGTCTTCATTGTAAAGTGCTTGTAAAGTCCCGCTTCATATCTATATTGCTACAATCAGCTTGATTGTGTGCAACGCAAAAAGCCAAACGACGAGATATATATGAGAGATTTACTTAAGACACATCTGGAGTTGTTTTCTGAAACAGAAAATGTTTTACGATCCGAGGGCAATGTATAATGTGTTATTGAAAGCGGCTGGAGACTCATCACGTACATCAGAAAGTATGGGTGTACCCCCGGGGCTGTTTAAGAAATTAAAATGTTTGTAGTTTCATGTTTCAATACTGCGAAATTAATTGAGAGAATGTCAAAATGTCAAACTATGCCCTTTGCCACCAGCATATGTGGCAATCGCATGAATTCTCAACAAGCCACACAACACAGGTCTGAAGAACATGACAGAAGGTTCAGTTTTGCCCTTACACTACAATCTGCTGGAAATGCTATATTTTAGAAGTTAAAGTAGACACAATGGATAACAACTTATGGATATATACTGTATTTATATTTATATATACTTTATCATACTTTATATACTATACTAACGACGTTGTTATCCACACATTGTGTCTACTTTGTCATCCGTCGTAATCTAAGAAATACCTATCAAAAACATATTATTTTAGAGCTGTTCAGGAACTATTGTTTTCATACCTTAGCATTATAACTTGCTCATTATCAGTTACTATCTTCTATTAGTTGGGAAAATGGACCTTTTGTACTCATATGTACTTCATCACGTACAAACATAAAAAAAATTGCCGCTATAAGAAAGAAAAAGGGCAACATGTCAATCTTATGTACATTTCCAATTATTTTCAAAAGAATATTCCAAAGATTCCGTTGAGTGAATAAGGTCCCTTTTCTTACGTCCCTTTTCTTCAAACGTAATTTACGTGGTTGTTTTTTTCTCTGAAAATGCTAACACATTTTCGGAACATCATATATCAGCTGTCTTAAAAAGAGTATGATTGTGGTTTTGTAAAGAAAACAAAAAACTAGTCCAGCTATCTGAAAAGATTCTTGACGTTGTCACAGTGTCAGTGACTTTGAAACTTGGACAGATCAAAGGGTGAACACAGCGCACGTTATTGCAAAAAACAACATGGCGTGTCAGTAAAGTGTTTGTTCCCAGCATGCTGGATTCACTTGGAACTTGTAGGGCGAAATTGACACTTCTGTTGGTGTCCAGCTGAGCTGGAAGGAATATAAAAAACTAGTTTCTTGATTACGTGTGTAAGAAGTTCGGTTGTTAATTTCCAATGATGCCCGATGCAATTCCCTATTTTGACTTGTGCCAATATGTTTTTGACTTGTGCACAATTTTTTTGTATGTAAACATATGACTTGCCTTTGCATGTGTTTGTGATGGGTGTCGCCGGTGGGGCAGCATACGTCCAGCTTTTCGTGAACGCCCCGTGGGGATTCTATGTTAGAATAATCCCCACCAATCTATGTTGGTCGTAGGATCATTGCTTCTTATGTCAATCACTGGATTGTCTAGTACAGATTCGATAATTTACAGGCCGCCGTCATATGGCTGGAATAGTGCTGAGTGCTTTGTAAACAACAAAGAAAAAGACACACAACAACTTGGCATCATATCATTTATGAACTCCCGTTTACTTATAGACTTCAGTTTACTCATAGACTTCAGTTTACTTATAGACTTCAGTTTACTTTCAGACTTCTATTTACTCATAGACTTCAGTTTACTCATAGACTTCAGTTTACTTAAAGGCTTCAGTTTACTTAAAGTCTTCAGTTTACTTATAGTCTTCAGTTTACTTATAGACTTCAGTTTACTTATAGACTTCAGTTTACTTATAGACTTCAGTTTTCTTTCAGACATCAATTTACTCATAGACTTCAGTTTACTTATAGACTTCAGTTTACTCATAGACTTCAGTTTACTTTCAGACTTCAATTTACTCATAGACTTCAGTTTACTCATAGACTTCAGTTTACTTATAGACTTCAGTTTACTTTCAGAATTCAATTTACTCATAGACTTCAATTTACTCATAGACTTCAGTTTACTTATTGACTTTAGTTTACTCATAGACTTCAGTTTACTTATAGACTTCAGTTTACTTATAGGCTTCGGTTTACTCATAGACTTCAGTTTACTCATAGACTTCAGTTTACATATAGACTTCAATTTACTCATAGACTTCAGTTTACTCATAGACTTCAGTTTACTTATAGACTTCAGTTTACTTAAAGTCTTCAGTTTACTTATAGACTTCAGTTTACTTTCAGACTTCAATTTACTCAGTTTACTTATAGACTTCGGTTAACTTATAGACTTCAGTTTACTTATAGACTTCAGTTTACTTATAGTTTTCAGTTTACTTATAGACTTCAGTTTACTTATAGACTTCAGTTTACTTATAGTTTTCAGTTTACTTATAGACTTCAGTTTACTTATAGACTTCAGTTTACTTATAGACTTCAATTTACTCATAGACTTCAGTTTACTCATGGACTTCAGTTTACTTATAGACTTCAATTTACTCATAGACTTCAGTTTACTCATAGACTTCAGTTTACTTATAGACTTCAGTTTACTCATAGACTTCAGTTTACTCATAGACTTCAGTTTACTCATAGACTTCAGTTTACTCATAGACTTCGGTTTACTTATAGACTTCAGTTTACTCATAGACTTCAGTTTACTCATAGACTTCGGTTTACTTATAGACTTCAGTTTACTCATAGACTTCAGTTTACTCATAGACTTCAGTTTACTCATAGACTTCAATTTACTCATAGACTTCGGTTTACTTATAGACTTCAGTTTACTCATAGACTTCAGTTTACTCATAGACTTCAGTTTACTCATAGACTTCAGTTTAATCATAGACTTCAGTTTACTTATAGACTTCAGTTTACTCATAGACTTCAGTTTACTTATAGACTTCAGTTTACTTTCAGACTTCTATTTACTCATAGACTTCAGTTTACTCATAGACTTCAGTTTACTTAAAGGCTTCAGTTTACTTAAAGTCTTCAGTTTACTTATAGTCTTCAGTTTACTTATAGACTTCAGTTTACTTATAGACTTCAGTTTACTTATAGACTTCAGTTTTCTTTCAGACATCAATTTACTCATAGACTTCAGTTTACTTATAGACTTCAGTTTACTCATAGACTTCAGTTTACTTTCAGACTTCAATTTACTCATAGACTTCAGTTTACTCATAGACTTCAGTTTACTTATAGACTTCAGTTTACTTTCAGAATTCAATTTACTCATAGACTTCAATTTACTCATAGACTTCAGTTTACTTATTGACTTTAGTTTACTCATAGACTTCAGTTTACTTATAGACTTCAGTTTACTTATAGGCTTCAGTTTACTTATAGACTTCAGTTTACTTATAGACTTCAGTTTACTTTCAGACTTCAGTTTACTCATAGACTTCAGTTTACATATAGACTTCAATTTACTCATAGACTTCAGTTTACTCATGGACTTCAGTTTACTTATAGACTTCAGTTTACTTATAGGCTTCGGTTTACTCATAGACTTCAGTTTACTCATAGACTTCAGTTTACATATAGACTTCAATTTACTCATAGACTTCAGTTTACTCATAGACTTCAGTTTACTTATAGACTTCAGTTTACTTAAAGTCTTCAGTTTACTTATAGACTTCAGTTTACTTTCAGACTTCAATTTACTCAGTTTACTTATAGACTTCGGTTAACTTATAGACTTCAGTTTACTTATAGTCTTCAGTTTACTTATAGACTTCAGTTTACTTATAGTCTTCAGTTTACTTATAGACTTCAGTTTACTTATAGACTTCAGTTTACTTATAGACTTCAATTTACTCATAGACTTCAGTTTACTCATGGACTTCAGTTTACTTATAGACTTCAATTTACTCATAGACTTCAGTTTACTCATAGACTTCAGTTTACTTATAGACTTCAGTTTACTCATAGACTTCAGTTTACTCATAGACTTCAGTTTACTCATAGACTTCAGTTTACTCATAGACTTCGGTTTACTTATAGACTTCAGTTTACTCATAGACTTCAGTTTACTCATAGACTTCGGTTTACTTATAGACTTCAGTTTACTCATAGACTTCAGTTTACTCATAGACTTCAGTTTACTCATAGACTTCAATTTACTCATAGACTTCGGTTTACTTATAGACTTCAGTTTACTCATAGACTTCAGTTTACTCATAGACTTCAGTTTACTCATAGACTTCAGTTTACTTATAGACTTCAGTTTACACCTACTCTGCTCAACGCCCAGGGAGAGAAATGCATACATATGTCATTAAGGTCTTCCTGTATTATCTCAGCTGTCGTTTGAAACCTATAATGACCTATATTGTAGAGTTCAAATGGCGTAATGGAGCGGCTGAATAACGTGACATTTGGTTAAAATCCGTGTTGCTGCAGTAATGATGCCTTTAATTAAAATATATTGATTTTTAAATGTCATCTCTTGTAAATTCATAATCAGCTTTAATCAATATGGGAAGTGTGTATTGGACGCTGTTGGATAGCTTGTAAGCGTTGAGTGAGACTCGAAATCTAACACATGTGTAACTTTCACAAGTAGAATAGCTGAACACGTGGTAAAAAGTGAATTTGGAAAAGCGATTTAAATTCGCACAATAATTGAACTGATTGGTGTAATTTAGCCATCGGTTCAGTATTGCCACCTGCTGCTGGGGGACCGACCACTAGATATTCTGGTGTGGGGGTGCAGAGTGTGGGTGCTTGGGCTGGGGGTGGGCGGTGGGGGTTTGAGGGGGGAATGGGGGGAGGATGGGGGTGGATTTTATCATCTAAAAAGACATCGTGCCAGAAAATTCTTGAAAAAAATAACTACGCTTCAGACGATTGAAAACAACCTTGAACCACAAAAAATACATTGTCTTTTCCTTTAAAACACAATTCAGGCTCATACTATTACTAGAAAAATACCTGGCTTTGAGGCTGTAACTATAACTATAACTATAACAATATTTAGACTCTAGACAAAACCCTAGCCCCAAAGAAAATCAAATGGTCTGTCCGTAACAAATTATCCTTTCCCGTCTTAAGGTCGAATGAATAGTTCGCTTAAAGGAAAACATTCTCTAAATTTAACCGTCCTACGTTTGAAAATCAATCACATCGGAATCGCTCCAGGGAAATCTGCACCGTAAAGCACAGAAACGCATTATTTTGAACATCAATTGTCACAGGTATGAACGTAAACCACAAAACAGTTGGTTTAATCACGAGTTTGGGATCATATGAGAACTAATGTTCATTAGCTCTTAGTTCACATTACGACATATTGTGCAATGATGCTAGTGATAGAACTGTATTCGGTTTATAGGCAAAACACAACTGGCTGCACAAAGCCAGCATGTAGAGCACATGTAGCAAATTGATTGGAGACATGGGCCAATAGCAGTCTGAGGTGTAAACGTTAATAACCTGATAAATTTAATAAGTCAAGATCATTTATCAATTAAAGTAACTACATGAAGGAGGCATATTCATAATGAATATTAGCCATTCACTGAAATAGAAAAGAACTTTTGTTTCGCTCTGTGTTTGCACATAGGTCCAATACATTATATAGAGATTTAGTTGATTGACTGATTGACTACACCACTACACCATCACACCACTATACCACCACACAATCAAACCACTACACCATCACACCACTATACCACCACACAATGAAACCACTATACCATCACACCACTATACCACCACACAATCAAACCACTATACCATCACACCACTATACCACCACACAATCAAACCGCTATACCATCACACCACTATACCACCACACAATCAAACCACTATACCATCACACCACTATACCACCACACAATGAAACCACTACACCATCACACCACTATACCACCACACAATCAAACCACTATACCATCACACCACTATACCACCACACAATCAAACCGCTATACTATCACACCACTATACCACCACACAATCAAACCACTATACCATCACACCACTATACCACCACACAATCAAACCACTATACCATCACACCACTATACCACCACACAATCAAACCACTATACCATCACACCACTATACCAACACACAATCAAACCACTATACCATCACACCACTATACCACCACACAATCAAACCACTATACCATCACACCACTATACCACCACACAATCAAACCACCATACCATCACACCACTATACCACCACACAATCAAACCACTACACCATCACACCACTATACCACCACACAATCAAACCACTATACCATCACACCACTATACCACCACACAATCAAACCACTATACCATCATACCACTATACCACCACACAATCAAACCACTACACCATCACACCACTATACCACCACACAATCAAACCACTATACCATCACACCACTATACCACCACACAATCAAACCACTATACCATCACACCACTATACCACCACACAATCGAACCACTACACCATCACACCACTATACCACCACACAATCAAACCACTATACCATCACACCACTATACCACCACACAATCAAACCACTACACCATCACACCACTATACCACCACACAATCAAACCACTATACCATCACACCACTATACCACCACACAATCAAACCACTACACCATCACACCACTATACCACCACACAATCAAACCACTATACCATCACACCACTATACCACCACACAATCAAACCACTACACCATCACACCACTATACCACCACACAATCAAACCACTATACCATCACACCACTATACCACCACACAATCAAACCGCTATACCATCACACCACTATACCACCACACAATCAAACCACTACACCATCACACCACTATACCACCACACAATCAAACCACTATACCATCACACCACTATACCACCACACAATCAAACCGCTATACCATCACACCACTATACCACCACACAATCAAACCACTATACCATCACACCACTATACCACCACACAATCAAACCACTATACCATCACACCACCACACCATACCACCACACCATACCACCACTATACCACCACCACATCATCACAACACCACTGCAACACTACACCATCACACCAAAACACCACGACAGCACAAAACAACCACACTACAACAGCACAAACCACTACACAATCACCATACCATCACAACAGCACTACAACACCGTCATAACATCATCACTACATCACCAGCACCCACTACTACAACACCGCACAAAACCACGCTACGTCATGCCAACTCCGGGACACGCCGGCTCCAGGAGAATGTAGCTGTTTGTATTTGTTGTAGAACAGTTTATGAACTTGTTGGATTAAATTAGTGCTTCCAGTCGATGTGGCACAGTACGTCCCCTGCCTATCTTATCACCTCGTCCCCCAATGGCAATGCTGTCTAAATAGTCGTTAAACCAATGCCTCCACTACATGCTAATCCTAGTTAGCCTCGTGGTGCTCGTTGGAGGGAAGGTCATATGTTTCAAGTACCCGTGTGTTGCAATTTATTCATTAACACCAGGATACGTATCCCGCGTGTGCCTTTTGACATTTGGCATCATGTCATGATCAGAAAACCACGCTAACTGATATATTTCAGGGTTGTAATTTATGCATTACTGTGTGTGTACTTGTCCCTTTGGGTCCAGTTTTAGGTCACTCCCATGATTTTGATTTCTGCTAGAGGTATAAAACCATTGGCCATGTCTTTGTGAATTTGTACGAGATTTCGAACTATATCATTCTTTCTTTGGAGAATTAATCTCCCTTAGTCGTGCAAGGATCTGATGATCCTAGTAATAGCAGTATTAGTAACAGTGACTGTGGAATGGTATTAATAGTAAAGATTGTAGAAGAGTATTAGTAGCAAAGATTGTGGAAGAGCATTAGTAGCAGTGTTGTAGAAGAGTATTAGTAGCAGTGTTGTAGAAGAGTTTTAGTAGCTATGATTGTAGAAGAGTATTAGTAGCAAAGATTGTGGAAGAGCATTAGTAGCAGTGTTGTAGAAGAGTATTAGTAGCAGTGATTGCAGGACGGTATTAGTAGCAAAGATTATGGAAGAGTATTAGTAGCTATGATTGTAGAAGCAGTGATTGTAGAAGAGTATTAGTAGCAGTGTTGTAGAAGAGTATTAGTAGCAATGTTGTAGAAGAGTATTAGTAGCAGTGTTGTAGAAGAGTATTAGTAGCAATGTTGTAGAAGAGTATTAGTAGCAGTGTTATAGAAGAGTATTAGTAGCAGTGTTGTAGAAGAGTATTAGTAGCAGTGATTGTGGAAGAGTATTAGTAGCAATGTTGTAGAAGAGTATTAGTAGCAGTGTTGTTGAAGAGTATTAGTAGCAGTGTTATAGAAGAGTATTAGTAGCAGTGTTGTTGAAGAGTATTAGTAGCAATGATTGTAGAAGAGTATTAATTGCAGTGTTGTTGAAGAGTATTAGTAGCAGTGATTGTAGAAGAGTATTAGTAGCAGTGTTGTAGAAGAGTATTAGTAGCAGTGATTGTAGAAGAGTATTAGTAGCAGTGTTGTAGAAGAGTATTAGTAGCAGTGTTGTAGAAGAGTATTAGTAGCAGTGATTGTAGAAGAGTATTAGTAGCAGTGTTGTAGAAGAGTATTAGTAGCAGTGATTGTAGAAGAATATTAGTAGCAAGGATTGTAGAAGAGTATAAGTTGCAGTGTTGTAGAAGAGTATTAGTAGCAGTGTTGTTGAAGAGTATTAGTAGCAATGATTGTAGAAGAGTATTAGTAGCAGTATTGTTGAAGAGTATTAGTAGCAGTTATTGTGGAATAATATTAGTAGCAGTGATTGCAGGACGGTTTTAGTAGCAAATATTGTAGAAGAGAATAAGTGGCAAATATTGTAGAATAGTATTAGGAGCAGTGTTATAGAAGAGTATTTGTAGCAGTGATTGTTGTAGTGATTTCTGTGGAGGTTGTTGTAGTGGTTTCAGTGGTTTAAATGGAGGTTGTTGTAGTGGTTTCAGTGGAGGTTGTTGTGTGTGGGTATACGTATTAGTAGCAATAATTGTAGAAGAGAATTAGTAGCAGTGATTGTAGAAGAGTATTAGTAGCAGTGATTGTTGTAGTGGTTTCAGTCGAGGTTGTTGTATGGGTTTCAGTGGAGGTTGTTGTAGTGGTTTCGGTGGAGGTTGTCGTAGTGGTTTCAGTGGAGTTTTTTTGTAGTGGTTTCAATGGATTTTGTTGTAGTGGTTTCAGTGGTTTAAATGGAGGTTGTTGCAGTGGTTTCAGTGGAGGTTGTTGTAGTGGTTTCAGTGGTTCAAATGGAGGTTGTTGTAGTGGTTTCAGTGGAGGTTGTTGTAGTGGTTTCAATGGAGGTTGTTGTAGTTGTTTCAATGGAGGTTGTTGTATTGGTTTCAGTGGTTTAAATGGATGTTGTTGTGGTGGTTTATGTGGAGGTTGTTGTTGTGGTTTCAGTGGAGGTTATTGTAGTGGTTTCAGTGGAGGTAATTGTTGTGGTTTCAATGGAGGTTGTTCTTGTGGTTTCAATGGAGGTTGTTTGGGTGGTTTCATTGGAGGTTGTTATAGTGGTTTCAATGGAGGTTGTTGTTGTAGTTGCAGTGGAAGTTATTGTAGTGGTTTCAGGGGTTTCATTGGAGGTTGTTGTAGTGGTTTCAGTGGATGTTGTTGTAGTGGTTTCAGTGGAGGTTGTTGTAGTGGTTTCAGTGGAGGTTGGTGTAGTAGTTTCATTGGTTTCAGTGAAGGTTGTTGTAGTGGTTTCAGTGGAGGTTGTTGTAGTGTTTTCAATAGAGGTTGTTGTAGTTGTTTCAGTGGAGGTTGTTGTAGTTGTTTCAATGGAGGTTGTTGTAGTTGTTTCTGTGGAGGTTGTTGTAGTGGTTTTAGTGGTTTCAGTGGAGGTTGTTGTAGTGGTTTCAGTGAAGGTTGTTGTAGTAGTTTCAGTGTTTTCAATAGAGGTTGTTGTAGTGGTTTCAGTGAAGGTTGTTGCAGTAGTTTTAGTGGTTTCAATGGGGGTTGTTGAAGGAGTTTCAATGGAGGTTGTTGTAGTGGTTTCAGTGGTTTCAATGGAGGTTGTTGTAGTGGTTTCAATGGAGGTTGTTGTAGTGGTTTCAGTGCTTTCAATGGAAGTTGTTGCAGTGGTTTCAATGGGGGTTGTTGTAGTGGTTTCAATGGAGGTTGTTGTAGTGGTTTCAGTGGAGGTTGTTGTAGTGGTTTCAGTGGAGGTTGTTGTATTGGTTTCAGTGGAGGTTGTTGTAGTGGTTTCAGTGAAGGTTGTTGTAGTAGTTTCAGTGGTTTCAATGGGGGTTGTTGTAGTGGTTTCAGTTGAGGTAGCAGTGGTTTCAATTGAGGTTGTTGTAGTGATTTCAGTGAAGGTTGTTGTAGTAGTTTCAGTGGTTTTAGTGGAGGTTGTTGTAGTGGTTTCAGTGGTTTCAGTGAAGGTTGTTGCAGTGGTTTCAGTGAAGGTTGTTGTAGTGGTTTCAGTGAAGGTTGGTGTAGTGGTTACAATGGAGGTTGTTGTAATGGTTACAAAGGATATTGTAGTAGTGGTTACAATGGAGGTTGGTGTAGTGGTTTCAGTGATTCAATAGAGGTTGTTGTAGTTGTTTCAGTGGAGGTTGGTGTAGTGGTTTCAGTGGTTTCAATGGGGGTTGTTGAAGGGGTTTCAATGGAGGTTGGTGTAGTGGTTTCAGTGGTTTCAATAGAGGTTGTTGTAGTTGTTTCAGTGGAGGTTGTTGTAGTGGTTTCAGTGGTTTCAATGGGGGTTGTTGTAGTGGTTTCAATGGAGGTTGTAGTAGTGGTTTCAATGGAGGTTGTTGTAGTTGTTTCAGTGGAGGTTGTTGTAGTTGTTTCAGTGGAGGTTGTTGTAGTGGTTTCAGTGGTTTCATTTGGGGTTGTTGTAGTGGTTTCAGTGGAGGTTGTAGTAGTGGTTTCAATGGAGGTTGTATTAGTGGTTTCAATTGAGGTTGTTGTAGTGGTTTCAGTGGTTTTAGTGGAGGTTGTTGTAGTTGTTTCAGTGGTTTTAGTGTAGGTTGTTGTAGTGGTTTTAGTGAAGGTTGTTGCAGTAGTTTCAGTGGTTTTAGTGGAGGTTGTTGTAGTTGTTTCAGTGGAGGTTGTTGTAGTGGTTTCAGTGGTTTCAATGGAGGTTGTTGTAGTGGTTTCAGTGGAGGTTGTAGTAGTGGTTTCAATTGAGGTTGTTGTAGTTGTTTCAGTGGTTTCAATGGAGGTTGTTGTAGTGGTTTCAGTGGAGGTTGTAGTAGTGGTTTCAATTGAGGTTGTTGTAGTGGTTTCAGTGGTTTTAGTGGAAGTTGTTGTAGTAGTTTCAGTGGTTTTAGTGGAGGTTGTTGTAGTGGTTTTAGTAATGTTTATTGTAATATATTGGTTTAAGTAGAGGTGGAAGTAATAGTTGTAGTAGTTGCGGTTGTACTGGAAATAGTAGTTGCGGTTGGAATAGAAATTATTGCCAGACAGTATACAACGGTACGTCTTTGATAAAACTTTGAGCGATTATCTGTAGACACTCAAATCTGCTTTGAAACAAGTAAATCAAATACATCAATGCGGTTTTTAGAAAAAACATCCCTTACCTGGCCATAGTCTCCTTTTTAACGATAATCCCTTTTGTGGATTATTCCATGTGTAATCTGCATAATCCCCCGACAGGTGACGATAATCCATGGCCCTGGCGTGTGCCTGGCTAAGCACTAGGACGGACAACACCAAACAGCTAGCTAGCACCTTCATCCTGCCGATACGTCCTCGGTTCTCCCCACACTATCACTACTGGTGCCTTAAGTGGCGCTCTCAACTGCGCGGGGGCGGTAGAGCGCTGCGCAGTCGGGACGCGACAGGGGGTGGGGGAGGGGAGGGGCGTGGTCTAAAGGAACAGCTTAATCGTCCTGATTTGCTGCGTGAGGAAATTGATCCGTATTGATCCGTGTTGACAATGCTCACTTAGATAGTTCCTCGTGCGGTGGATGGGGAACCGTGTCTATAACAGAACATTTATCATTTGCGTTTGCTAATTAAAGTGAATTATTCATTAAGGTAATGTATTTGTCTACCGTTTTATGTATTTTACTACTGACGTTTTTATTTAACTGTTATCATGTGCAGTTAGTCGTGAAATATTATACTTAAGACGAGTATACTGTATCCACTGGCACGTATCAAGTAAATACAACCAAAATAAATATCGACAACGAAACATCAGCACGGTCGTATTAAATTCACAATAAGCAAATACATGCACGGTTATCAAATGGGCTAACAAACTGGCGAAAAGTCAACAAAACACTAATATGCCATCATGCTTGAAAAAACAATTCACATCGGGGTGTGTACAGCTACTACTGTTTTTCAGGACAAGCAGCTTACAGAACCCGTCTCTGGAGACAGGAGTATGGCTGTCGTGAATGACGTGCCAGGAATACCCTGAGGTCTGCACTTGTGAAATGTTAGGAAGCCTGTGTCAATAAACTGTTAACAAGTCATTAAAAGTAAAATGGTTAGTTTTTTTGAAATCGCGAGGGTTATATCCGCGACTCTGAGGAAACTGTGAACAACCTAACCTGAACGACGTACCCCTTAAATGCAATCAATCAAACACTTAAAATGTAACATTGTACTTGTATGTACCATAAGCAAACAATGTACCTTTAATATCGATAATGCTTCAATATGAACAATGTACCTTCAATGTGAAAAATTAGCCACATATATGCTAACAATTTCCCCCTCAAACATGATTTATAAACCATTAAAAGCCAACAATGAATCCCTCAAATGTGAACACTGCAATTAAAGTGCCAACAATGTACCTTTTAAATGTAAACAATAAACCACTTAAATGTCATCAATATACCCCTCAAATGTGAACAATGAAGCACTTAAATGTCATCAATATACCCCTCAAATGTGAACAATGAACCACTTTTATCTCATCAATATACCCCTCAAATGTGAACAATGAACCACTTAAATGTCATCAATATACCCCTCGAATGTGAATAATGAACCACCTAAATGTCATCATATACCCCTCAAATATGAACATTGAACCACTTAAATGTCATCAATACACCCCTCAAATGTGAATAATGAACCATGTAAATGTCATCAATATACCCCTCAAATGTGAACAATGAAGCACTTAAATGTCATCAATACACCCCTCAAATGTGAACAATGAACCACTTAAATGTCATCAATATACCCCTCAAATGTGAACAATGAACCACTTAAATATCATCAATATACCCCTCAAATGTGAACAATGAACCACGTAAATGTCATCAATATACCCCTCAAATGTGAACAATGAAGCACTTAAATGTCATCAATATACCCCTCAAATGTGAACAATGAACCACGTAAATGTCATCAATATACCCCTCAAATGTGAATAATGAACAACTTAAATGTCATCAATATACCCCTCAAATGTGAATAATGAACAACTTAAATGTCATCAATATACCCCTCAAATGTGAACAATGAACCACTTAAAGGTCATCAATACACCTCTTAGATGTGAATAATGAACCACTTAAATGCCATCAATGTATGACTTACGTGCGGACAATGTACCCATGAACTGGGGGTAAAATGTGAACAATCTAACCTTGGGCTGCACGAACACGCTCTTGAAACATTAACCCCTGAAGTGTGAGCGTCCCTTAATGTCACACTGCTGAACTGTTTCATAGCCATGATAACGGATAACATTAGCGCCAATTAATTTTGATTATTTATTCAAGGAACTCTTCAAATAAGCACTTCAATGCAAGCCTTTATGTTCCATTGGCCTTCTGTGCGTTCACTGAATTACACAGCAGTTACTGGGCACTGATAGGGCGATCATATTTACATGTATTGATTCCTGCGCGATACATTTCTACCCGTGTTCGCAAGATAGTAGAGTAGTCGGAATCCTGTTAAACGTTGTTCACTAAATGCAGAAGAATAAAACCGCCACACTTGTCATGGAAACGCAGATTCTATTATACACGGGAGTTAGTTCTATGGGTGTACAACTTCTTTATAACAATGAATGCGACGTTTTGGTGTAGATACTGACACCGTTATCAGGTTCTGTTTCCATTATACAAGGTTAAAAGCGAAGCTAAATGAATTAACTTGGTACTTGACCTATTCACATATTAATATTCTAGTATGGCTGTGAATTTGTTAAAACTGTTCAGATCCAGGTATTTGGTAGATCATTAACTAAATCCTATGAAAGGTTAGTCGGGTAGTAAATTAGCACGAAATGCTCTTTATCTTTATTGTACGAAATGTACAAAGCCGGATGGTGAAATATATGGGATTTTACTTTGATGACTTGTTTTAACGTCTCAGTACAACATGAGAGTCGGGAAAACACAAGACAGGGGAAGGTCATTTCACTGTTTAGGTAATATCAGTAACTGAGTGATTATCACATGATTTGGAATCACGATAAGATCAGGAACCATAAGACACTAGACTTGAAAAAATGTATTTGGTGTAATCTGTTTTGTATACATGTTGAATTAAATATTGATGTATCACCCAGGTGTGACAGCCACCAGCGCAAATGTGACACAATCATGGCGTTAAAAAAACTCGCGTGATTTCATGAAAGGTCATTTCTGTCAGTCGCGTATCCTCCCGACAGATATTGATATACTAAAACAATTTCTTTTAGAAATTTACTCGTCTCTAATTACGGTAGTGAAAATATTTGTACCAGAATCTCCTGATGATATCTATTGAATGGTGTGGCAAGTTCTCAAATATCTTCTGAATCATCATGTAAACAAATGACAATACACCTGATCACTCATTCATGGGTATACCTTGGTGAAATGTTAACGACTGTAAAACATTAGAGAGAGGTGAGGTGAGGTGAAATGGGGTTTAACGTCGCGTGCAAGATTATTGCACTTATATAGCGACGTGCATGCACGTGTTTGTGTGTGTGTGTGTGGCTGCTTATACTAGTCAGGACTGATGCCGATTTATAGTGCTAGCTCACTGAGATACCATGCCGCAGTTTAACATAAATACCCCACTCAGACACAGTATACTGACCCAGAGCCGACCAGTCCTTGTTTTAGCCCCTTAGTGCCGAGCGCCAGACAGGGTAACAACAAGTACCATCTTTTAACGTCTTTTGGTATGACGCGGCTGGGGATCGAACCCCGGACCTTTCGCTCTCCGGGCGGACGCTCTACCATAAGACCACGGAAGCGGTAAACATTAGAGAGAACATATATATATCAGGTAGCCCAGAGGAAAACGCTTGAGTAGAAGTCGAAAACCTGCCAACATCAGGTGTCTATTTCCTGTGCTTGTGCTTGTGTGTGTGTGTGACTGCTGTTTGAAGCAACAGCTGCACTGACGGCGATGTCGACTGCTGTCTCAATATAGAAACCGCTGCACTGACGGCGATGTCGACCGCTGACTTGATATAGAAACCACTGCGCTGACGGCGATGTCGACTGCTGTCTTTATATAGAAACAGCTGCACTGACGGCGATGTCGACTGCTGACTGTTTGAAGCAACAGTTGCACTGACGGCGATGTCGACTGCTGACTTGATATAGAAACAGCTGCACTGACGGCGATGTCGACTGCTGTCTTTATATAGAAACAGCTGCACTGACGGCGATGTCGACTGCTGACTCTACATAGAAACAGTTGCACTGACGGCGATGTCGACTGCTGACTTGATATAGCAAAGGCGCCACCGACGGTGACAGTACTGAGAACCATATATTGTCTAAGCACATCGTTATCCGTGATCGATTTAAGTATTATCTGGAATTATGTCGGACTGTGACAGTAAAACATTTACTCTCGGGATGATCCCTATGACTAAAAAGTGTTTATAAATCCTTCCGACATCACGCTAAACCAATGGACGAATCTACGACAATGTTCTGGGATAACATTGTACTGGCCGTGAAGACATGAACGCTATATTCTCCCCGGCAGCACATCCTTCATGTATCAGTGTGTCTGTCTCCAAAGCCCAAATGTAACACTCACAGTATTCTTTGCAATCCATTATCGTCTACGAGTGACTCCCATCGGCGAGACGCTTAAATGATTGATTTCGTCTTACTTAATTACAGACGTGTATTGCTGTTAACAAAACTTCCGATTAATAATCGATTGTGTGACTTATTCATAGAGTTGTTAATTCATCACAATGTGTTCTGACCAGCAACTCGCTACTTGACCTTCGTCAACTCGGGTCGCCTTATCACTGAGAACGTAGAATAAAAGTGATAACAAAAATCACTCAAACTTCAGCCCATTGTGGCATTAAACTGACATCTCATCATACAGTATAATTTCCTTCAAATATGCAAAAAATAAACAGAATAAAAACGTTGAGGAATCAGTGTCAAATCCACACATTCTAACAAACGGTGCTCGACAGAGAATTACTAGCATTCCTGACTGTATTCATATTGTTGTTTATTCAGCAAGGTTACGATGGCAATTGACCAATGTCACAGCAGTTGTGCAGCAGTCATAATTATAAATGAAATTTACATCAGCAGTTTTGTCCTTAATTGCATAGGCTTATAAATATACATAGCC